TGCCGAACCCAGTCAAATGAAACAACGTAGGAGACGTCGAGTCGGAGCTGTTTTTATAGACTAAACCAAGATGAGCGGTAAACAACTACGTACACTCACCGCATCGCCTCCATGAAATTCGGAAGCTATCTCCGATCTTACTAGCGTACCTCCAGAATCTCTTTGGATATTTCACAAGATCCTATTCTACAGACTCGCGGTGAAGTTTTTGATCACAGTTAATTAAACGGTTGAATTGTTTTCTAGCGCTCTTAATTCTGCTTCCCACTTTGAGAGGCAGTTTTTTTTGTTTTTTTTCTATGCAAGAAGTCTTTTTTGACCAAGAGAGATTTTAGTTCTAAGGATAACCAGTTAGGAAAGTGAGAATTTTTTGACGTTCTTAATGCAATGCATATCTCCATAGCCCCCAGAACAATTCTCGTGGGGCAAGTGACTTGCTCATTCACATTGATAGGCTTAAGAACAGATGCCCAGTTGACATCCGTAAAATAATAGTGCATTTAAATGTAGTCGCCTGCCGAGAAATTACTATACGAGGTGTGAGGAAGGCATCTTTAGGAAGGAGGAGTGCAAACTGGTGAAATACGGGAGAACACTACATCAAGTGCAGGGTGATATATATCTTCAGGGACCAATGGGGATTGACTCCGAACGATGGAAACGCGTTCCATACTAGAGAAACATGAATCTAAAGAATTCTCCTGGTTGTTAAAGGGGTACTCTGGCGATTTTTTTAGCTGCCTCAACTAACTATATTTCCTGACTCCCCGGCCTTTACCCTTTCCGGTATGCTATTTAGTATCACGAAATTCATAATAGTTATTGCCAATGCGGCAAATGAAAATGGTGCAAAAACCAACATTCAAACATACGCGCACTTTTCAGTGCCGTGACGTCAGTGGCGGGCAGGCTTGCCAGTCGAGCGAGCAGTCTAAAAAATAGAATATGCCAATCATTTGTTCCGTGCTGGAGCACGGGGATTGGAGCGAGCATCCAAAGCATTCATTTGACACCATGAAACTGCTTCGAATCAGTTGGGAACAAATTCTACAGTCCAAAGAGTGAACCCCTGCACTTTGACTGACGTCACTTTTTCGTTGTTGCCAGTAGAGACTTTCAGTTTGAGAAACACGGTGAGGACCAAAATTGTAAATTCTATAACTTCGTGAAAAAAAAATTATTTTGACCTAATATTTGGGATACTATTTTGGCGATGTTGTTTGGCGAGTTTAGCAAAATTTCAAGCCAATCGGGGACCATGAAGAAATTGCCAGAGCACCCCTTTAAGAGCATAATTGTGCCGTCTGAGATCTAAAAACGATACGAAGTTCAGTAGACGGCTGCATTTCTGCTTGCAATAAAAGTTGTCAGTGTGAACATTTAAATTTGTCCAGTTAATACCTGGAGCGTTAAAGTCCCCCATTATCAAAAGGTTGCACCTATACAACTCTTTCACTATATTCTCAATGTTACAAGACGCCTGATGAGGTGTAGTTTGAGGAGGGGGATAAAACAATCCGAATAAAACACCCGCTTTGTGCACTCGATTGCAACCGATAGACACTCAGGGGACCCCTCTAAATCCTCGCGTCTTTTTGAGTTGTACCGCCTGTCAACTGCAATCATCACACCACCTCCTATGTTACCTCGCAAAAAAAAGTCACGATCGCGATGAAAAAAATTTCAAAATAGGGCGGAAAGTTATCTTCAGAGCTAATGGTGGGACGCAACCAGGTTTTCAAGCAAGCAGATAAAAGAATAGTTAGATACAGTAACACGAGAAAAGAAACACTCGGCCTTCGTCCGAAGACCACAAAATGTTTTGATAAGACAGCCTAGTCTTACTCATCAGTGTTTTCTGCAGTGGTTTTTGGCCACTTACCGAGATACTTTGAGCAAATCATCTTGAAGAACAGCTCTGAAGGGCTTGAATAAACCCCAGTCAGCGCAACGGTTCGAGCCCTCGGGCATGTGGACATGGGCATTGAATGTGCCGTTCGCTCGTCATGTCCGTCACCCTTGGAGGCAGGCGGATCTTCGAGCATATATTGATTGAGTAAAATTATATGCACGGGCGCGTGCACGTTGACTGGAAATTGCTATGCACACGACGTTTTGAAACTCGTATAAAACGAATGGTTAGAACGAATTTCCGAAGCGGTAGCGTAGCTAAGTGGCAAGGTGTCTGCCTCATACGCAGCGGACCCCGGTTCGGTCTGCAGTGTGGACTTACTTTTTTTTTTCTCTTTTTTCTTGAACATTTTATTTTGTCGATATTTACTACATTTCTTTTTTATGATTAACACTTAAAAAAAAAATGTTGCCAACAAAATTTTGCTGAACTAAAGGGTATAAGACTTCCTTTCCGGATGTGCAATTTAGGAAAGCAGGGCTTGGGTTGTCAGCTGGACGCCGCAACGCGGCGTGTACGGAGGGGGGGGGTGCCAAGTGGGTTAATACTTTTGCACTTAGCAGCCACACACTGTCGCTGTGAAGCGGCGTGAACGCAGGTTGGGGGGGGGGGGCGGGGAGCTTTACTTATATCGATTTCCACCATGCCCGTAACATTTGCGCCTAGAACCGAGAGGAGTCGGACACCCACCCAACGATTCCGATGCTAGAGATGCCGCGGATCTCCCAGCTCCAATAGTCTGTCCTCCTGGCAGCCCGAGGGGGTGAGGAATCTGAATCTGCGCATTCCTGGCTGTCAGCCATGGTGAACTAGAAGGCTGGAGGCCCCCGACACTCTGCCCGAGGGCAGACACGGGCCACGGCAGCCGGTTTCAAAGCTGCGCCGGCCTCCGCTCTCCTCAAGCCTGTGATTTCTGCAGGGCCCGCCTTTACGTCATCGCACAGTGAGCAGACGAGCTATAGCGAACCAGAATAAGGCGGGGAGTGGAAAAAGCGGCGGCCTCCATGTGAGGCACTTTGTGTAGAATCTATCAGGTGGCACTGGCGTTCCATCCCGGACCACTTCTGCCGGCGGCGAGCCCGTTCGAAGCGTAGCTGGTTTCAACCTTAGTGGTTCATTACCACGGCCTGTATGTGTTTCATGGATGTTGCAACGTCTATGAATTAATGTTTAAAGTTTATTCGCGCAATGTAGCGATTTTGTGTTTTCGGTACGCTGTAGTGTTTGCCCTGGCTGGCTGGCTGGCAAACGCTCCTCCATACGGACCCGTCTACCTGCCTAGTCTTGCAAGGCACCCAGAGTATCTTGTCTTTTTGGAAATAAAGACCATAATTAGTATTCTGCTTTGATTTTCAGTTATATGCCCATAATAAATGCGTGTACCACTTTCCTTTGTTAAAGACCATGCCATTGTGAAAAATAATTGTTGAAAAGCTACACTTCCATTTGGAACGTGCTGAACGAAGGAAAAGTAGGTAAAATACTCGTAATCATTGTGGCACTCTTTGTGGCACTATTTCTGGAGTGTTGTAGCGTTCGACTTCCGCCGTCCGCCGCAGGTGATCAATCAGACGACTCTTTCCTTGGGGTCAAGCGGGGTTTATTACCATGACTCCTGGATCCCGACCTGGCCAAGACTCGGGACAGCAACTCCTGTCGGCCGCACTGGCCACCCCTTTTAAGCCCGTGCGTATGCAATGGGCACCGGGAGCCGCCCCCCCGCTAGTCGCCGGTTTGGCCGCCGTGTGGCGGGCCGAGCGCCCCACACCTCTCCCACTTAGAGGTCGAGGTCTAAGATGGCCTCCTCGTGGGCCGGGTCGCGGAGCAGATCCGGGCGGAATCGGCGGAGCACCCGGATGGCCTCTGCGACTTTCAATGGGCGGGGAGCTGCCGGAGGTGCAGCAGGAGGTGGTGCGGCTTGGCGAGCCCAGTCCGCGGCGACGCGAGCTTGGTGCAAGGCGCCCGCCAGGTGGATGGGGTGGTGCAGTTCCGGCACTCCGCAGACGGGGCACAGCAGGCATTGAGGCTCAGGCTGTAGAAGCTCTGTCGAGCCTGCTTCCTCGCCTTCATGAGGGCCTGAAGAATGATGTTGGATGAAGCTCTCCTGTCGTCGCCGAATCCACCCTGGAGGTCGTGGAAGACGTGATCTTGCGCGAACCGTCGGAGCAGCGCCCTTGTGTAGATGCGCAGTAGGATGGATGAGATGGTGATGGGCCTGAAGTCTCCGCCAGTAGTGGCCGAGCGGGACTTGGGTATGAAAACTCTTGGCCACCTTGAGGTCCTCGGGAAGCATAGCGAAGGCCAACCAGTTGGTGAAAATGATGGCAAGAATGGCTGGTGGAATCTGGAAACCTCGTTCAGGGTAAGGCCGTCCGGGCCAGGGGCAGTCTTTGCGTCGGTGTTCTTGAGCACTCTTTGGAGCTCTCCTTCGGTGAACGGCTCCACCTCTACGTTGAGTACTTGTTCGGATGTTATGAACCCGTCAACCGGTCTTGGTGGTGTAGACATGAGAAGGTCGTAAACCCGGTGGAGCTCCGAGAAGAGGACTGCTGGGTCAGCCCAGTCCAGCCCCAACTCGTCGACGAGCACCTTAGGCCCCAGACTGTACAGCCGTTGATGTTCTGCATAGCGTTCGTGACGGCGCTGGTTACGGTTCTTGGCTAGACGATGCTTCTTTTTCTTGCTGCCCTCGGTGCCTCCCCTCTCCCCAGGTCCTCTCCTATCTTGATGGGGTCCAGCAACCCTTGAGCGATGGTGACAGGGGTTCCTGGTGCGGGCTGCAGACGCACCCAGGCAGATCCGGCGTCGTGAACGCGGACCGGTTGAATAGGAACCGGCTGCTTGTGTGCCGCCGCCTTGAAGGTCTCCAGGATCTCCTTGTAATGGCGTGTATTTCGCTGCCCTGTGATTCCCTGTGAGGACTGGGTGGTGAATACCCTGGCAAAAGCAAGGTTCATATGAGGGTGGTCCTTGCAGGTGATCTCTGCCCTGGCCAGTGCCGTCAGTTCCGAGACGGTCCACCGCGCGTTGAACTCTGCTGGTGGAAGAGAGTTTGCGGTGCCAATGTATGTGTGACCTCTGCGATGATGGATTTAGCAAAGGGACCAGGAACGATGACAGTTGGCGGGGTGTCTGGCGAGGGGCCACAAAGGGATGAAGTTCGGAGTAAGGGTGAGACATCCTTTCCCCGTCGCGTGCCGAGCTCCCTGCGCATCGCCTCTGCGCACTGGGGCATCAGACGGTAGTCCCGGACGCTCTGCCATGTTCTTCTTGGCATCAATGCAGCGAGCTCTTCGTCACTACGCATGCACAGAGAAGCCTCGAGCTTGCACAGCACGAGTGCCTGAGTGTCCCTCTCTGTCCAGGGCCTTGCCTCCGGTGTAGGGGGGATATCTCGGGGGGTGACCGGGGTTGGAGAATGATGTATGGACTTCTCGCTTCACCGCTGTGGTCTTGGCGTGGTGAGGGGTGATGAGGGTATGTCCGTCTGCAGGCCGGAGGAATCTTGCACTGATGGCAGTGGTCCCCCTGGAGTGGCAGTGGGGGGCTCACCATGTGCAGGAACCCTGGAGTCCGGCCGAGGTAACCTGCTCCGCAGCTGTTCTTGCTGTAGCAAGTCCCTGTACAACTTCCGCCCCCTGATGCCCTTGATGGTTTGCCAAGGTACCCCTGCGTACCCCTTGGCGAGTTCTTTGTTGGTAAACTTCATCTTGGCGGGCATCGACAATTCTTGGACCGCCAAAGTCCTGACGTCCTCCGTGGTCCAGTCACCTGCTGGTGGGAGACGCAAAGCAGGGGTGCTGGTTGTGAAGGGCATCGACATGTCTGCCCTCTTGGAGTCCCGGGAGAACTCTGGGTGCTCCTTCTCCTCGGTGTGACTTGCAGGGGAAGGAGTGGAAGCCTGCGGAAGCTCGTTGCTGGCCACACTGTGTGAGTCGGCGTTCGTCACTACGGTTGAAGTGGGCGATACTAATGGTTTCTTCCGACACCTTGTGTAATGAGACGACATGGAGGTGCTCTTGGTGTACGTTTTGGCGAGGCAATAGAAGCACCTCCGTACGAAGTGACAACTATGAACATGTTCGTAGTGCCCCCCAGAGAGATGCGAGAAGTTAGTCGTTTGTCGCACAGGTGGCAGACAATCTCCTCTGAGGGATACAGCCTCTCAAAGGTTTGCTAACACGCTAGGTGATGGATGAGTCCCTGACATGCTGAAATAAATAGGAAAAAAAAATATGAAGCACTATTCCCCCAGCCGCTTGCGACACAGGGTATTTGTATTTAAGTGTAGGCTGTGAGGCCGAGGGGGAGAGCCTGGTAATGTGGCCTGTGCTGTACAGGCCACAGTAACTTGTTCAAAAGGTACAAAGTTCCCTAGAGCACTAGATTATAGTAGTCCTGCAGACTACGCCACTACATGTAGTGAAAACCAGCTAGTGGTGCCCTGCGTAGCCCCAAAGCGTAGATCCGATCCACAGGGCTGCATGCCGAAGCACAAAAAAAAAAAACCCCAAAAACCATGTTTATTGCGCCAAAGTGCCGAACTGCGCTTGATTACGAACAAAAAACCTACAAATGTTGCTAAAAGAAAGAAAAGAAAAGTGAAAAGACGTTTTTCTCTGCTGCTAGTCTAACAGAGGTGGTGAAATCCACGGGTGGAACGTATTGCCCTCTGTTGATGGCCGGCGCAACTAAACAAAGTTGCATGCGCTCCCAGTTCGCGTGCAAAGTTCGAACTGGAAACCGGCAGAGCTGCCACGAGAAAAAAAAAAGGATGGCAGTGGGACCAGGGACTTTTGTGCGTGGTTCGACGCACGGAGACTGAAAAAAAAAATGTTTAGTGTAGGAACCAGCGGTCCACTAGCGCCTAGCACTAACTCCAGCAGCCAAAAAACGAGTGACCGTTAAGGGGTGAAGAAAGCCTCAGCGGTCGGCTGTTCACACGTTTGGAGAGGTGCTGAAACTGCGCTGGCGGACTTGAGAATCTTCCAAGAGCAGCGGGGGGTACCCGGCGGTGTCCGGGAGCACGCAATAGTCGTGGAGGCGTGCGGACCTGGCCAAAGGCGCGATCGCCGGGAACTCGGCTCGCTAACCAAACGCAGCCGAAACGAAGCTGACTTTCTGTTTACCCACAAAATACCCAAGGCATATGGCTTTTTTTTTTTTTTTAACGAGTAGGACTTGTGCACAAAAATCGTTTCCTCGCCCACCCCTTCGCAGAGGCATCAGGCTGATCTTTGGCATGAAATCTGGAAGTCCTTATCCTCTCCAAGGGAGAGGGACCCACCAATAGCCCCATGGCAACACACAACCGCCGGGGCGCTTCATCGCCCGTGCACCACGGAGGTCATCTGCTGATGCCGACGAAAGCACCTGACCCCCCCCGAAGGCAAAGTATAGTCAATACCTTAAAATCCTGTCTACCAAACCCAAGATTGGTAAGAGCTGCAGCACTTTTTGGCGACCAAACACTTGATATATATGTGATAGTCAAACTAGTCACAACCGGTGCAACACTATTGGCCCCTTTAATAATATCCAGAAGCTCTGGAACACTATAGTTTGCACCTTCCGCTCATGTGCGGCATCTGGGGTGGAATACGTACCCACCACCTGTGTATCAACCACAGTCATCTGACTACCTCCTGCAATAACGAGGTCTGGCACATGTTTCTGTGTTGCGGTGTGGCACTCGGGTTCTACCAGCACCTCCCATCCCTTTTCTTTCAGAGGACCAGGAGCATACTGCACTAAACTATCATGTCGTTTGATTCTGGCACTGTGCGTGCAGAAGCAATTTTGCGTAATGTGTCCCAGTGACTCCGCGGAGTCACAACCGGCCCGACGAGTCAAGACGTCCCGACCCCTCTTAGTCCTAGTCATGTGAGGAAGCGCATTTGCCCTCGTCTTTACCAAATCAATGAACCTCTTTCCATTCATCGGACGTGTACCTTTTCCAACCCACACCTGCGAAGACGGTACACGTGAGCACTCCTTCAGGGCAGCACCGTCTGCACTCTTGTGCCACTCTCTCGCCCAAAACCTGGATACAGCACCCCTAGATCGAAGCACCTTGCCCTTAAAGATGAACGACCGTTCTAGTCAATCTTTCAAGTCGACCATGTGCGGCAGCTGCAAGGCCACGGCGCACGCAGGATGCGATGACGTGCCCAGTGCCAACAATCTATGCAGTGCCATACCTGGTATGGCGGTACGTAAACAAGAGGCACCAAGAGAGTCATAGTTACTCCCGCCGTTTATTCGCGCTTTGATGAATCTCTTCACGTTGACATTCAGAGCACTGGGCAGAGATCACATTGCATCAACACCGACCGGAGGCCATTGAAGAGTGTGTCGGTCATATCGCTTTAGGTTCCGTCCACAGGGACCAGCAGCCATCTCCCCCTTTCAGCCTTCTCCTCCCATTTACACATAATGCCCCTTTAAATTGAATATAAATTGGAACTAAATTTATTGGTAGCTCTCGACTGAATTCAAACCCATGTGCCCACAGTTTGGAGCGCGGTGCTTTAACCACTCTGCCATCGGCAAGAGTTCATAGCCGCTTCCAAGAACGGGGTTTTATATCCACGGTTTTCTTTTTCAGGGGAGCACTAGCAGCACTGCCAAATTTCTGAATATGGCACATGATCACGTAACATTATATGACCACATAAGTTACCTAATCACGGAGATTACGGGATCATGTGTCACCTAAGTTCAGGCCTAATTAAATCATGCAAGTGCTAAGTATGCCAGCATGATTACAAAATGATAACCAATACAGTAAAACCTCGTTATAACAAAGTTGAAGGAGCGGTCGTAGTTATTTCGTTATAACCATTAGTTTGTTATAGCCAATGTCCATTTCTCCATACTATTAGCAAGCAAGGGGAATTATGATTGCTTTGTTATATCCATTAGTTTGTTATATCCCATTTTGTTATAACGAGGTTTTACTGTAGTGTAAGGTTACGTATCGCATGTCACGTAAGATTAGGAATAAATGGAGCGTGCAAGGCTTAAGTAGGTATGCGTTCTTACTCTTCCTTAGCGGATGGGAGTGAAGAATGCACGAAGCAAGAGGCAGGCAGAAGATGAGGCTGAGCAGCCATGAACATTGTGCCCAGCAATCCCCATATGCACAGCACGCACATCATGTGTATGGTAGAGCTTGACACATTTTGTGCTTCTAAGGCTTTGACAGGATAGTCAAGCTTGGGTAACTTTTTTAAAGTGCAGCTTTTAGACGCCCGTTTCCGGGTTGAGCGGCGTCGGCATTGGCGTAAACGCGTGTTGCATTATGAGACCTTTCCCGTAATGACGTCACACTTGAAGTCTAGCTCAATTTAGCAGAAAAAATGTAACGGAAATTTTTCTGCTAAATTTAACGGGGAAATCGACATCACGTGGCCTCAACACCAATTAAGTTTCCCCGCTGAATTTAGCGGGAGAGTTTCGGTAAATTTCCCGCTGAATTTAGGAAGAATATTTCCCGGCTTTATTTAGCGGGTAAATTTTTGCTTAATTTAGGGGGAAATTGAGCGGAAATTTCCTGATTAATGGGAGGGAAGCAGGAGAGGAGGAGGAAAGGGTATGGAGGGGGAGCAGGGACATACCCTCCCCTCCCCTACTCAAGAGCTGCTCTCTAATTTTACATTACAGAGAATTGTAAACGTGTTTCATATTTTTTTCTGTTGATCTACACTATTGCCATCGCAACATTAGAATTGCTAATCTTGTGAAAAAAAGTTCCTAATTTACCTTGCCATCAGTGACTTCAAACAGATGCGGCTCACTGACTGGAACAGCAGTGACTGCAGCAGCAGCGACTGTAGCAGCCTGCCCTCGTTCAGGCACTGTTAATATAAGCATCATTGATGAGAGACAGCTAAAAAACTGCACTTCGAACTGATCACCAAACCTATTCGAATCCAATTAGCATAAGCCTCAAACCTAAAGATTGGGATCTGTAAGTCGTGGAAATTAGACAAAAGAAATCAAAATGAAGTGTGAACAAAGCAGATGTTACATGACGTCTGACTTTAGCAGTAATATTTCATTTTTCCCACTGCATTGAATCGTTTTCACCCACAAGGCAGGGCAAGAATAGGACAGAGCGCTCCGTCTTATCCTGGTCTTCCTATTCTGATTTTGTACAATTTTACCTTATATACCTCTTATGCTGTTTTTGCACTCATCATATACAACGAATATTAACTAGCAGAGCTTTTAGCATTATCATAAAGTTGCGGTCTTGCAGCTGAAACGTGACCCCCCCGGCGGAGGGGGGGGGGGGGGGGGGGGAGGGGGAGGCAGGCAGCGGGCGGGGCGACGGGCGGCTGCTGCACTGCCACTAAGCTTGCAGTATTGAGTGACGAAAATCTAGCTCTTTCCTTCGGAGCACAAGAGACAGAGATAACAATGAGTGTCCTTGTGATCCTATATGACTCTGACTTACCGACTACTATATCTGTTGTGATGTGTCCCAGCCTATTGTGGCATAAACTTCGTCACCCTTATTATAATGATCCGCCTTCCATCTGGCCCCCTTCATGCCCGTCACGAGAAATTAAGTAAACTAGTACCACTGTATACTGGAAACAAATTAATTTTCACGAAGACCTAATTTTCACGAATCGTCTACATTTTGCAAAAAATAGGTCTCACAAACTATTTGGCTAAAATGTGAACATACAGAAAGCTGTAGTGAGGTCCTTGCGGATTGCAAAAAATGAGTACCAATTAATTATTCCAGCTCTTCAGCTTCAGTCGAATTCGCGAAAAATGGAGCCCACGAAAAATAAGTCATGTACAAATGCTTTGTATTCCCTCAATTTGAAACTTGGCGATGACACAAGCATCAGTGGCCATGGCAGAGGGTTTTGTGGTGCTGGTTGGACCATTTTGCGTAAAAGCAAGTTTTGGAAACTTCGAAGTGGTCGAACTGGTCTTTTGGGGCTCCTCCCTTATCTTTCTGGAAATCTGTCTTATGCACCTTATGACCGGAGATTATGGCGAAGGTCCCCATGACCTGGAGATACAAGAAACAACCCCCATGGTTCGCCGAGCCTTTGGTACAACACTTCCTATGTGCACTGTGAAATCTAATGTTTGTGTGAATGTAATTTCTAAGCTTGACAAAGAGTCATACATGGTAGGGGCTCACTGAGCAAATGATAGCTCGATTTGCCCACCCTGTGGGGCCTGCTAAAGCGCATCACGGCACTTTTCGTGGTGTGCAGCCGCTAGCAGTTGTTAGTCACCCGGCACTTTATGTCTTTGATGTAGTCCTGGAGAAGGAGGCAGGTGTCAGTAAGTGGAGCCAGCATCGAGGTGTGGTCTGCGTACTGAACGAAAGAAAATCTATCATCCTGAGGCATGTCATTGACAAGAAACCGGTACTGTGGCACACTGGAGGGGACGTTCATCGTAGCTCAGTGCACACCTTGGTAAACAAATTGTGGGATTTTTCCCTTCAGTTAGTGGCAGCCACTTGAGAAGGAAGCCATGAACGCTGGCGCCTGACATTTTATGTAGCAGGAGATCGATGTTGAGGGCATCGAACGCGTAACTGAGATGAAGCCGTAGAAAATCTTTCTTTTTGCGACTGCCAAGATTGTTGCTTACAAAATGACACGGGGTCGCCAGGACCGTCCCACAGCTGCGGGCGTGCCTAAAACTGTGCTGTGTCTGCAATAAGTATCCAGTGCTCTCTAAAAATCGAGGAACTGACTGTTCAGTATGCATCCTAATGTGCGGTAGATGATTAATGTTATTGAGGTTGGACGCTAATGCTTGACGTCGCTTGTAGGCTTCTCTTTCCTTTCGTGAATAGGGGTGAGTAAGGCGTGTTGCCAGGTGGTAGGAACAGCTCCCTCATCGAAAATACTTTGAAGTAGACAGCTGAGGGAGGGATCAAACTGTACTGCGTTATCATCCTATAAAAGGCAGGTGCCACACCATCTGGACAAGGGCATTGTGATGGCTTGATCTTAGACACGGCTGTTCACAGTTCTTCCTTTGAAAAAATGATCCCCTTCACGCATGGTGCATCATTGTCAGATGGTGTGGGTGCGAAAGCAGAAGATTGTGACGACTCCATGGTTCGTTGGTGTTGCAGACAGTGTTAAGGGCTGGGGGACAGCAAAGGAAGGTGGCCAACTCTGCTGTTTCTAGGAGAACCTTCTTGAGGCATCTTTCGTCTTCTTCAATGTCGGTTTCAAACCTAAGTTCCCTTTCAAAAGCAAGCTGAAATATAAATATATGTTACAAAGTTTCGCAGGCACATACTGGAGTGTACACGTAACAATACTTCCCTACCTGAGAACCCAGTTTGATTTTTTTCTGGAAGCTAATTGGAAAGCCGAAATCCAGAATGGAGAATCTTGATTCAATTCTGGAAATGTCGGTTCCAGATTGGAGAATCTGGATTCGGTTCTGGAAACGTCAGTTCCTAATTGGAGAATTTGGATTTGGTTCTGGAAAAGTCAGTTCCTGAATGAAGAATCTGAATTCTGCTCTGGAAGTTTTCAGTTCCAGAATGAAGAATCTGAATTCTGCTCTGGAAGTTTTCAGTTCCAGAATGAAGTTAGTGGAACCATCACCTGAAAATTGATATCCAGTTACGCCATGTGATACATATTGTGGGAAAACAAATCCAGGAGGAGAAACTATAGTGGTCACATACTGGGTTTTTTTAAAACCACCTAGGTATCTGGCTCTATACTTGGAACCTCTATTCAGGGAGCTGTTCTGTTAACTTATCCCCAAAGCCAGTTTGTGCAAACTGAAATGAATATTGAAAACAAAATGTGGTTCCTAGAAACCTGAATGTATTGTAAAAGACCCACTTAGCAGAAATTCGCTGAAAAACCCTCAGGCATCCAGGTAAAACATTTCGCGAAACAAAAAATCTCGGATATATATGTCGTTTATATTTTTTTAGTTGTTAGGCTGGCCCAACAAAGTGCAAACAGCTATGGAAATTTAAGTTATAGGTATTACATTTGGTGGCAGAGTTGCCTATTCTGTAAAGCATATATACCAGTTTGTGGAAACTGGAAATAATATAGAACAAATGGAATTCCTGCCAACCAAAACTTACAGTATGCCTAGAATTGAAAATGCTCAGCCCAGCTAGTGGATAGTGAAATTGATATAGAGCTGTCTTAGCTAAATGTCGACACAGGTTTTTTAGTGGCATCACCTACTGCTATTATGTCTTGCTAAGACGAGCTAAAAAAGGCACGTTCTAGGCAGATTCATGCCAACTTGAAGAATGCAGCTGGCCCATCAAGTGCAGAAGGCATTTTTAGAAGCATTGAAATGAAAAAAAAGTAATTGTTTTTTATAATGAAGTCGCCAAACATTTCTACCTTATTGGAATTCGTTAACAGCAGTTAGCATCCTCTGCATCCGCTCTACATTTATTTCTATACTATGATTGATCTCAGAAAAAAAATATTACTAGAACCCCCAAGACACCGAAAGGCCATTAGACACTACATAAATTTAAACCAACTTGCACAAATGCTTACTTCAAGTAATAACCTCAAAGGGCAACTCCACCCCAGAAATACATTGCTATACATTCTAATGTGCACGCTCTATTTAATATTTGTGTTTGAAAGCTCACTAGACAAGCATCAGTAACTATCTTGCTGTTCAGTTTTACGTGTGCCAGTTTAAGATTTTCACAAGTACTTGTAGGTGTTAAGAGACAAATCATCGAATGACAGTACAGTAATTAAGAGAGCCAAGAACTTATAACCCTCATACATAACCTATAGTTACTAAAACAATTAACTAGTCAAAATTAACACAGAAGTATGAAAACAAAATCAATCAAATCATATGTGAAATGCTATTAACAAAAGCCTATTTTGTGGTCCACGAATACAGAAGGTTTTTGAAGCTATTCAATTATGATGCAATGTAGACAGAATAACGAAAGGTCTAAGTCTATTTCAGTCTTTTCAACTTGCATTATAATAACAAAAGAGGGATTTTCTCATTTGCCTGCTTGCAGTTAAAAACAAGCCTACCCTACTGCTACCCCTAGAAGCTTCACACATTTTTGTCAGAAAGGTTAGGGAAAGACACATTAGGAGGCTGAGACATGGAATTGATTTACTCAAACAATAGCCATCTTCCACAGGTCGATAATCAAATTAGCCCGACTAGTCTCAGAAGAGCAAATCAAGCACACGAAGTATAACAAATTGTAAACAAAGAAAATCACTTATGAATGTAGAGTTACCTGAAGGAACACCTTAGGAGCAAAACAAGAAGTCTGAAGATGTGAAAGGCACAATCTCGATAGATTTCCCTTGTTGACACAAAGGCAAAACAGGGACAAATTATCACAGGATGTAGTTTTGGATATTTCAACTCCTAGGGAACAGTCACTTTACTTCGGCACACCTGGTTACATTACATCAATCGCGCTCAAGAAGGTTTGACAGATCACAGACATAGCATGCTGAGGGCTTCCTGAAAGTGAGAAAAAGGCATGGTGCCTTCAGCTGCTGTGGTTTAACAGCCTGCAAGTTCACGTGAGAAAGAAAACAAAGCCTGATGTGCTGCGGGAAAGCACCTGCACAAGTGATGACAACTTCCCTGCACAGAAGTGTTACCTCACCTTTCAAAGGCAACACTCTCAAAATGGTGAAATCGCACATATCCTTTATTTGAATGACCTAGGAGTCTGTCTTTTTACTCCTGGCATAGTTTCGGCTGTGACAAATCTGCCCTTTCCATGCGAAGTGCTTGTACTCTGTAGCCTGATCAAAGGCGGCCCCAAATCCAGCGGAAAGACAACTCTGTTCCTCTTTGCTCAAGGATGCCTTCGAAGAGGAACCGAGCAGGCACACTTCGTTTGCATACTTGAAGTTTTGGTGTTTAGTGTATCCCAGAATATCACAGCACATCACTTTGACGCTGTCACTTAGAAGCGAGGACACCAAAGTTTGATCCCAACTGCTGATACTTCACTACCCTTTCCGGAAGAGCATTTGATCCTTTCACCAGCTTCACAAGCTGCCCGTTACCGCTTTCAAATTCAAAAGCAGAATGGCCCCACAATGGCCCCAGTTGCTGCACTGCTTCCGCTAGGTGGAGTAACTGGTGCAGGCTGAACGTCATTGCTGGAGCTCCATACAGCCTCCCTGTCATGCCCACAAAGGTCCAGAGGAGTTTCTCTGAAAGCACAATATGACATTATTAAAGCTGGCCCGAAGCAGGACACAAAGAAACCGAAGGGGGAGAACTCGCGTGCAACATCAATGGATGCTGGAGTTACGGTGTCCCTCAAAAGTGCATGGACGGCCTCCACCAGCTTCTTTATGTACGGCCAGTATTGGTCCAGAAGGACCCTGTACATGCAGGGAAGCGAGTGGTACAGCAGCCAGTGGCGCCATTCGGAAGCCTTCCAGAATAGGCGTGTGCTCAGTGCCCTTGGGAGTCTCGTGGAGCTGTGTGGTGGCTTGATTTCAGCCAGCTGGCTGTTGATGACAGCAATAGAGGCAGTGTTTCCTGTAAATAAACAGATCAAATTTACTAAATAAATGAAAGCATTTGCCAGTCTGTTTTTGAAAACTGGGGCAGAATCTTTGGCAATTTAGTATGAAACAATTGGCTTAGATAAATTATCCCTCTTAAAAAGAGTGCAAATTCTATGTGCCATTACTCCGATAAAACATACGCTTGGTTTTCTAATACAAACGTCTAGCTTTATGGTCGAATCCACCCAATATGTAAGTGAAATCAGTGCATACTGCCTGCTAAAGATGACAGAAAGTGCAGCAACAAAGAAAATAGTTTAGACGAGACATAGCAAGAAATGCCTTGCGTGGTTTAGCTCCCCAGTTTTGCCCATGCTCTTTTCCCGGTTTATCTTTCTACGTTACACAATCCAGCTGAATTCTTCGTTTTATTGCTCAGTGCAGTCAGTCTGCAGAAGTCTTACGAGGCTTAGCCTCCACAATTCATTGAGCTCTTTTGCGAACTAATAAGCTAGTTAAAGTACCTAGAAGCCACACTGACAGATGTAATGATCTGGTTCCAACCGGCTTGGTGTCCTGTACTGTACTGTTGTAAAATCTCTAGAATTGCATAGCGAACTGACATAATGCCTCCTCTCCTTTTTCCTTCCTTGTGCTAAAAGTTATTTAAAGATTGTACAACATGTTTCGAAATTGGCACCCTGGATTAGAAAGAATGAAACAGGAGATTCTCCTGATGTTCACTTCCAAAGTCTCTTGTTTAAGCTACCGTGATATACTGGGCATGCACCATTGTCGCATAACTGCCTACCCCATATCACACTTTTGAACCGTTTGAAAAGTAAGCAAAGAACATGCAAAGGACTCCCATTAAACAAAAGGGGCAGAAGTCATTTCCAACGAGAAAGGAAATACCAGTGATGCTGATATACTCTTTAGTAAGCTGGTCTCCTCCACCTCTTCCATGTGACAGGGCTATATAACACTGGACGCAAATGTCACCACATGATGTGAGAAGAGCCTTGAGGAACTGACAGAATGCACTGAAAGAATAAAACACGTAAAGGACAAACACAGACACACAGAGTTCTTTCAATGAGCAGCGAACATTTATGAGATGCCCATTACGCTACGACCTTGAACGACAAAGAATTGAAAGAAAACGAAAATATTCAAAATTTAATATAAAACCAATTTACTCACAAACTTTAAAAATACCAAATTAAAATGATAGCAAAAAAATTATAGGGAAAAACTTAAGGAAATTTCGTGAAAAAGGGGGAAAGGAAGAAAAAAAAAGAAAGGAAATTAATGACGAAAATAATCTTGGAAAATGGGAACAAGAGGGACAAAGGACAAACACAAATCTCCAAACACAGCTAGGTTCTTGTCCAGCTCGCTTGTACCTTTACATTAACTGCATTATAATCAGGAAATTAACCCCTGAAAAGGGGGGAAAAGAAAGGAAAAGACAAAATTAATTGATCACAACAAGCTTTTTACGATAATTTTTACGCTAGAAATTCCAGCTTTTTTGACGACAAAGCCAAAGATGTCCCAGAGACATTGCTCACAGCATATCTGACCTTAAACGCTTCTATTGTTTCGGGCCCACATTTATCTATGTGTGAACTTAGCTAAGTGGTGTTTTCAAAGTTTGGGGTGCAATCGTGGCAGGTACGGGCATGCAGAACTATTGGGTGGAACGAGTCCGACGATGCCTTGGTAACATCTAAATGGTGTTCCCTAAAGCGAGCATTTAGGCATCTTCCGATAGCCGATGTATTCGCCTTCGCAGCTCAATGGACTCGAATCAAGTTCAATTTCAAGTTTTATTCGCCTCAAATACGTTCGTTCAAACGTATTACATGAGGGGGGTAGAAAAATACAAACAAATGCAATGATATAATGGAAATAAAAGAACTAACTAAGGTTAAAAATTAACAACAAACAAAAACGCAATACAAACTATACAGAATTCAGAACAAAGTTTACAGAAACCGGGCACAACAGAACTGGGGACTCAGTGCACAATTTATAGGAAACACAAGCAGACATGGCGCTGAAAACATAGTACCAAAGCCAAAAATGTTTTGCGGAATATTTTTTATCATTCTATTCAGTGACTATGTCGTTTGGGAGAGAATTCCCATTTTTAATGGACAGAGCAAGAGGAGAGTATTTGTATCTATTAGTGCGACCAAATATAGGTGCAATTTTCAAGGAATGATCATGACGCAAAGAAATGTATGAGACAGACTTACAGTGAGTGAGCATGAATGATTGCATGTTGTAATAAAAGTTATGAAAAAGAGTAAGGCGAGCGACTGTCCGACGTGATTCAAGAGAAGTTAAATTAGAAAGAACCAAGTCTAAGTGGGAGACACTGGTTTTCGTACTGTAGTTTCGATAAATGATTCCAATGGGTCTTTTTTTATTTTTAAGGCCTTTTGCAAGGCGTTTTGTTCGGCCACGCTACCCATGCATTTGCGACCTCGCTGCACCAGGATAGAAAAGTGCGTTCATTTCGCGCGTGTGGGGAAAGGGGAGGGGGTCAAAGTTTTGACTTCCCAGTTGAGGGTGGGTTTAATATGCAAGTGAAAAAAAAAAGTCGAAATTTTGGAAGCCGACTTGGGGGGTGCGTTCATTACGCGAGTGCGTTCATTGTGCGAGTAAATACATACCTTACTCAGAACTGTTGCAAAGCATGACCCGATGCACACCTCCGCTCTCTTTATATAAACATTGCCCTCGTACTCCACTGAGGTTGAGTGGAGGTAAACATCCAGGAGATCCAGGAACTGACACGTGCCGTGTTTGTGGATAACGTTGTTCATACTGAAATGTTTTTGGTTGACAAACTTTATTACGAGAACGGGAACGACGCCAGGCACATAGCTGTTTTGTGGTGTAAGGCTAGCTGAGTCGCACGTGTGGGTATCAACGCCGATTTGTGAGAAACTGCGAAGTGGGCACCACCAACCATACTTTTCCAAATACATAACAGATCCTTTTTTCCCTTTTATTTTGCAAAAAGAAGGTTTATGCGAATTTTAAGAGTTCAGAGTCCACAGACTCGGCGATACCTTGCTGGCTGAACAACTTGATGGCTTGATCGAGTGGTTTCGGGTATGCGGGACTACTGGGCAGGACATTGGAGAGGTTGGTCGTTGAACGTGAGTTGGTAGTAGTCCTCAGGGATCGCGTTGTTGTTTCAAGCGAATGGTCAGATGTGGAATCGATTTCTTCTGTAATGCCCCCCCCCCCCCCTCCCCTCCCCCGTCTTCCGCTCTGATTAGGTATGATCGTGGCTGTTGTCCGACTTGGACCACAATTCCGGGTTCCCATTTGTGGTTTCGACGGAAATAGACTCTCTCGCCTTGACTCAGAGGACGTAGTGGTTTGCTGTGTGCGTCACCACGTCGGTGTTGACACTTTTGATGGAACTGAAGGCGTGCTTGAACCTCCCTGATGTTGTAGTGCTGCTCAAGTTAACGCGGAGCAGCTGGCTTGAGGGTTGTGATCCTGCGGCCCATTAGCAGTTCCAATGGGGACAGGAGCTGATCCATCGGTGTGTCCCTAAGCTCCATAAGAACAAGAGACAGGTCGTTGCCTTCCTTCGGTGCCTTGGTCAAGCTGTTTTCATTCTTTGAACTGACCTCTCTGCAAGTTCATTCGACTGTGGGTAATCAGGAGAACTTGGATTATTTGTCATGTCCAAGCACTTGAGATACCCTTTGAATGCTTCAGAGTTGAATGGCAGGCCGTTGTCACAGACCACTTCTAGAATGCCGAATCAAGCAAACTCCTTTTTTAGGGTTGCGATCCTTTGATAGCAGAGGTGTCCCCCTTTTGCTCTATCACAATGTACTTGCTAAAGTAGTCCACTACAAGTAGGTAGGTGACACTGTGGAGATGGAAGAAGTCATTGGTGACGATTTGCCATGGTTGTGTTGGAGACCGTCTGTCTCCCAGGGGCTCTCGTTGGTTCGACCGCTGGTGTTGCTGGCAGAGTTGGCCGTTGGAGACCATTCTTCTGCCAGCACCCGTTCTCCGAAACAATGCCGCGGAGCGGGGCGTTTTCTGCATGGGTCTTTGCAGAAAAAAAAGGCACTCTTATGAACTGATGTGCGGGCAAAGCTAACGCATTTCTTTCTCAGAGCGGGGAGGTTCAGTTGAGAGCATATCTCCCTAGCCTCAGACCTTAAAGACCCTGAAGGTCTTTCCTTGAGTAAAGCAGTTCTTTTTTCGAGTGCAGCTTCCACCTTTTCCTCTTAGATGTCCTCGTTCATAACAACGAAAACTACCATCTTTTCTTACTCTAGCAGCTTTAGCTGGGCGTTGCGGAGCTCCTCTACTGTTGAGTATACATATGACTTGCCTGGAGGAGGCAGGTGGGCACAAACGGAATGCACAGCTGTCCCTACGAAGTTCTGACGATCCTTTTCAGGGTTACTTGCTGCTACCTTGTAAACGGATGTCAGTTGGTCTACCCTCGATGCTGGAAGGTCTAGGGCGAACTTGGGCCCGTGAGACAGAAGTCCCTCCGGGGAAAGCTGTTTGTCCAAAAGTACAACAGGGGGTTTCAGTTGAAGTCCGAAGCCTTCTGGCAAGACTTGCGTACCTCCCCAGGATTTTTACCCCTGCGGCCTCCAAGAGCCCGACTGCAGAACTCCTGAGGAAGAGGAACGAGGGTCTGTGGCGTAAAACGTATCGAGGAGTGCTGTCGTGGCCGGGGAGAGTCATTCTCATGAGTCGAAGTTCCTGGGATATCTCTATTCTTGAAATCTGCATGATCCTGTAGCTTGACAACCAAGTATGGGAGTGGAATCCCAGCACAAAGTCCACGGAGGCGTGGGCCACGTTTTTTCGCAAGCAAAGCCCCAGGGAGCGTAGACGGAGCCGCAGAAAGTTAATTATTGAGATGTAGCTGACGGCTTGAAAGAAGTTGCGGGGATTGAACACAGGGTGACGGGCGGACGTACTGAGTCAGGACATGAAGCTCACACAACTTGAATTAAAATTTAGGGAGCTTGTTTATAGAGACTTACAAACACAGAAAGAATAAACCCAAAGAGGTCAGAAACACAGACAAGTACATATCTTTCTTTTTTAAAGTTATTATATGGTTTTCCTCTTATCTTTTATCACGGAGACAGTATAGACCTTTGCAGAAACAGCTCGCTGGCCGCCGCCATTTTGCGACTCGAGTGACCCCTATTAGCCAAAAATTTCTGCCACCCGCCTGAGCTGTGGAAACCCGATCAGCGCGACTCCCCACCTGCATCGTGTGTTCGGAGTTCGCCGGCTTTCCTTGTAAGTGTTTACTCTATTTGCTTGTTCAGGATGCTTGCGTGTTTTTGTAATCTTCCACTGTGAGAACCTGGGAATACCAGGACTTATAGCCTTCTGTACCTTCGCAGGAAACGAGCGAAGAAAGCGAACGTCAAGCAGCCCGCGACGCAGGCCGTTCGACGTTCTTCGAGGATTATTTCCGTTGAGATAATCTCCGAAAAGCCTTCCCGGATATGTTCCCGGTCTTGGCGAGAAGTAGCTGATAGGGTCCGGGGTATGGGAACTAAATAGACACGTTCGTTCATTCGCTCTAGTGCTGTGTATAAAAAACATCACTCTTCAAAACGTACCCCAAGACAAGCCGGATTCCGTGCGATCGTCGTGAAGTGACTGTCGTCGACACTGTATTTTGGATATGCTGTGTTATTTGAGACCTTTCTCAAATCATGTCCGGATAACGCGGCACCGTGGGGTACGCGTACAATATATGTTGTTCGATTTATGAGACTCGTTGAATTTCATATAGTGAGGGGGCAATACCCATGCAGTTCGGCTATCCTCTGGTGTGGTCAAATATATTAGGCAGTTAAGGTTGACACGGCTGAGTGTATAGGGCCGTTATAATCGCCACAGAACACAAAAGAAAAAATAAAGTGAGGCGATTTTGCCGCCACCAGCATTCAAAATTGCTCCTACGCAGGCTGCCACAGCCTACTGACGAGAAAACCCACAGCTCAGCGCAGTCGGG